AAAATAGACAATGAAGACTAATTCATAAGTCTAGACGTCCAAGATCTTCTTACAAGCATACATGTAACTACAACAGTAGACATAACCATCAACCTTATTGACAATTCGAAAATCTTCAGTACACTTAACTTAACAATAACAGATCTCAAACAAATATTATTATTATGATTAAACAATAGTTACTGTTAATTCGGCAGAAGATTTTATTGACAAAAACAAGGCGTAACCATGGCAAATATATTGTCGCCTATTTTGACAGAATCTCTGCATGAATGATTATATGGAAAAAAACATGGAAAAAAGCGATTTGAACAAAACATTATCAAAAAACAAAGATGGCACCATTAATGTTCAATGACACACAGCAGATACAACAGTCGACAGATTATTGAACTATAATTTAGATAACGAAAAATCTATACAAATAAATATCATTAAAAATATAGGATTCAAGATAATTGAACTAACAAAGAATACCAAAAACCAGCACAAAATGACTTAAACAAGATTAAAAGAGAATTTCATCAAAACAGACTACGCAATCTATATAAGAGATAAACACATACCCAGGTCGAAGCAATCCAATATGATCCTATCGGATCCCAAGTATCCCAACAGGATCGTGTCGGAAGTTATTGGAATCCATTAACAAGGATTCCGATAAATACCTATCGGATCCGATAGATTTCCGATAGACTCCGACAAGGTTCACCAGTCAGGTCTATCGTCCTGGGTAATCAACACCGTGCAATAAATCACTGCTACAACAGCTAAAAAAGAAGAAGATAAACAAGAACATGTTATGAAATACAAAATTACTTTACCATTCATACATGAAATTGGAGTGCTAAAATGAAAATTAGAAAGATTGAAAATCAAAGTGTGTTTCTTATACCCATGCGAAATTCAAAAGTCAGAGTTAGTCTCAAACAAACGAATGGTACAACGTAAAAGATTAAGTAAAAAGAACGAAGCAACATCAAATTCGAAAATAGTTCAATACTATCAAAATTAGAATTAAGAATATATGTTTGACTTAAAACAATCATTTGTCATCGATAAAGAGATTGATTGGAAAGAACAACGAATCAAAGAAACAATCTATTCAACTATTAAGAATTCGATAGATCCTCGAGATGAGATTAATGATTGTAGCTACCTCTACTATAATGAATTATCAGCAATAATAAAAGCTCGCATATTGCAACCAAAGGAAGAACAAATATGTCTATCATGAAGTGCAAGACGGTGATAATGAGACGAAAGAAGAAGACAAATAGCCCATCTTTCCTACCAATATCACCGCTTCGTCATCTCACTATCGCATGCTAATAATCTAAACTAAACCAAAATGAAAAATCAAAACAAATTTCACATTCCCATAAGTCTGATGAAGACAACGTTCTTTGTCAAAGAGTTACAAGTTTGAAATTAATGTAAAGATCTTATACTTTAATATTTTTTTATTAGCATAATATACATAAGGCAGAGAAAATACAGTTAATTATAATGTAATTTAGGAAGTGAAAAATGTATTTCTGCATATTACCCACATCATTTTATACGATAGTCATATTGTTTTCGAGGAATTCGGTGGGTTAACTTCGCCTATCAAGGTAAAATAATTTAACAAAAAAAAAAACAAAATACCAATTGATTTATCTTCTAATAAAAGTCTATAAAGATCTTCATCAATATGATTTGCTTATAGGTTACGATTAAATACTTCCATCGAATTTGAATTCCATTGATAAACATATGCATGATCATGAAAAAGAAATGCAAGAATAAAATATTTAATGTCTACATAATGGTCCACAAATGTTTCACTTACACATGACATTAGTTCTATTTTCATTCGTTCAATATTATTTCCATCACAAAATATACTTTTTCAATATTGTCTGAAAATCTAAAAGAGAAATAATTCTTTTTTTCATATGAATAAAAATAAAAAATAAACTAATCTTCTTAGTTTATTCCATTTTTGACTAAATCTACTCCATAGATCATTTCGTAATACTAATCGCCTATATGATTATTGAAAATCATTATTTTTGATAACATCTTCAAAAACATATTTTATTGATCATTCGAATGTTCAAGCAACAGTTGTCAAAAATTAATCGCATACTAAAAATGAAGATTCTACTAAAGAAAAAACCATTAGTAAAAAAAACAAATATAACGAATATGATTTGCCTATTAGGAATCAACAAAACAAAGACATTATGGGAAAAAAATTTATCCATGTATACTCGATTTTCATTGTATATCAGTTGATAATTGATCATCTCATGTTAAATCATATGCATGACAGAGAGATTGAAGATTTTCAGTAAGTTTCATTTATGATCAAGACATTTTTTTGAAATGATATTTATCAATATTTATTAGAAAATATGAATTTGTCTTTAAATAACAATGCACACAAAAAAGAAAAAGAAAAATATTTTTTGTTTGATTAATTATCCCATTGAGCTATCAACATATAGAAAATGAAGCAATAAATACTTGATAATTGTTCAATTCGTTTTACTGTTGATTTATCCACATTTAAAAAAAAAGAAAAATTGAGAGAAATATTTATTAATAGTAAATAATTGGAAGTGGCTTTGTGCATTCAGGTATACATAGTCAACTGACTATTTGTATTCAGGCATATATAGCCAACCGACCAAGGGGGAAACAACTGATTTAAATCAGCTGAAAATCAAAATTAAATCACATAAATCATTTAAAATCATCTTAAATCATTCTAAATCGCTTTAAATGACTTTAAATCACCTTAAATCAGATTAAATCACAAATCGCTGTTTCCCCCTTGACTATAGTTCAAACGGAGTGGTCTTGGATCATGCCTGGAATTGATTGACCAACTTAATTTGTGTGGAAGATTGACAGTTCATTGTGAGTTGAATTGAAACTAATTTACACGTATGACCCCATTCTCATCCCTCAATTACCATCTTACTTACTACTAAATGTCGATTGCCTTTCCCGTTTTTGTTTATCAATAACAATACCAACAAAAACTGTGTTTCCTATGGTCTGTTGAGTAAAAGTCTCGACCAAACATCGATACATGACGAATGGCTATTCTCGTAAGTATCTGTAAGACTATCTATAATGCATCTCAACTTTCATTATGCGTGGGTACTGAGTATATGCCCGCAATTTTGAGTAGTCACCGAATTCCAGCGGAGAGACATTTTAGATATCTCAAATCCTGCACATATGTGCCGCGTAAATTGAAGTCTTACATATATAGCTTGATATAATTGTAGAGAGATTTTTATGGGAGTTGTGATGAATTAAACATTTTCTGGAGCTCTGAATGCTTTCTATCTAAGCATTGCTTATATGTTTCTGGAAGTTTCTGGGAGTCTATTTTTACGAAAAGTAGAACAAGAAGGAAAGGAATGACAAAGAGGGATGGTCTGAAAAAAGAAGGACCGTAGCAGAACCTCGTTTATTTGCATCTATATACGTATTTATTTAGAAAATTTAGAAAAACTAAGCGAAAACACAAATATGCGCTAAAGAACACAATTTTTTGTTGCATTCAATCGTTAAAATGATCTAAAATAAAAACCAAATAGTTTCAAAAAAAAACTTACTGTCTTGAGTTCATCGTAAAAGTGAACTAAAATAAAAAATAAATAAATAAACAATTGAAACAAAAGAAAATCTACTTCTACTTAATCAAATTAGTTTAATTATCTGTGAAATGACTTTTTAGCAGACCAGCACCAATATACCGATATTTTTTCAATAATAAACAAGTAGCGTCTACGTACACTCGCGTTTTCTGAAATCATTGCCTGCCTAGGTAATAACGAATAAACTCAATGATTTTGGAAAAGTCTAAGCATGTTCAAGAAAACCGTTGCATATAGATTTTGTAGCCTGAAGAGTCCTCAACAAAACTCACTATTTTAGTTTTCACAAGCACTATTTGTACTTACAGTATTTGTAAATGGAAATGCACGCAATGAAAATTTGTATTCTTTTTTTGTGTCACGTTGCTAACACTAGTTTTTCAATGATACCTCGGCAGAACAGAAGGCTGTAGAGCTGAGCTTTTCAGAGTATATAGAGTAACTGAACATACATCTGTTACATAAAAATTAGGTAAAAGAAATTTCAAAGTCCAGAAATATATGCGTTTTTATTTTATGAGATTACATTGTTAACGAATGAAACTGCACATCTATCAACCTGACAAACATCAAAATAATTCATCTCTGTAACTAAATAAAAAAGAAATTTGTCCTTTTGTTTTTGACAAAACATTTTCTCGATTCATAAATCTTAGTCAAAATATGATGAAATGAATTTGCAACTGATTAAAAACTCTACATAATATTCGGTAACTGTTTTGATCCAAACGTTTTATTAATCAACATAGATAGTTTCTATAAATGATCCAACAGGGTGTAACGGGTCAATGTGTGATCGACTAAAATTTTGATAAAATCGTATTAACTTATTATGATTTGTTTTTGTGCATTGTCATAAACTGCCACTGGATGATTATTTGGTAATATAGACGTAAGCCGATCAATGCATCGACTTGCACGTCTATTTACTAAATTAATAAGTCGATGAATAAAATCATCTTAAAATTTCTGTTAATTCATGTGTTCTGTTTTAGTTTTGTTTCATGATGAGTTAATTATAATAATCTTTTTGTACTTTTTCTTTTATTTTATGTTCATCAAAAGACAACAACAACAAAAATAGTGAAGAACAAACAGGGAACAAAAGAGACAAGATGAAGATGACAGAGATAAACGAAAAAAGACAAGAAAATATATACAAGCGAATCTTCACTTGTTCATAAATTTTTTCCTTTCTCAATTGAAACAATTGAGAATACAATTTATTTTTGTTTTCGTTGCTGTAGATATTAATATGTTGGAAAGAAAAATATAATAGATACCAATTAACATTTACAATAATTGTCTTGATGAATATATGCCCAGTGACATCCGGACTTATCTAGGTTTAGTCGATTTTTTATCTTCTTTTTTCGTACGTACAGGTGTTGCTGATCGTGATCGACTTAATGAATCGCTGCTAGCGGATTGTGACCCTATAAATAAAAGACGACAATGTGTGTGTTTTTTTTTTACGAAAAGGCAAATATACATATCACGGTTACTTTTAAGCTCAGAATGAGATCCTATGTAGGTTGGTAGAGGATGATGTTCTTTATCTAATGATGTATGTATTATCAAGTTTCGACTACAAACTTTGTACGAACAAAGTTCTCAATGAGATTAATTTCTTAGATAAGTTGTAATTTTTTTAGTATCTCCTATCCTGAGATATTAAATATTCGAAATTTTCTCATCTATAAAGGCAAGTTTTGATCATGTATTCACATATCCAGAAAGGGAACACTACGTGACCTGAGGAGAACCGCAGCTATTTCATTGAGAAACCCAGTAAAATTTTGATATCTCAAGGACGAAAGCTCGGAAAACCAAACCATTCTAGGCTTTTCTATTACTCATCAAATAAGTATCGTGGATTATAGTCATGGCGAAGGTAGCACCTTTCGTTGACGTTTTGGCGGCATGCAATAAAATTTAATAATACGTACACGATTACATACAGAAAGTCTTTCTCTACTAACCTACATATAATTCGTTTGTGAGTCAAAACTTAGTAATCGCTTTCACTGTAATTAAACATACTTTTATTTGGTTTTTTATCATCAGCCGATTCGGACTCTGATGATGAGCCTGATGATTCCGAACCTGATGAAGAAGAATTTGAACTTGATCCTGATGATGATTTATCAGATGGTGAACGAGTTGATCGTTTATTCTTTTGTATTTCTTTCATTGGTGGTGATACAGTTGGTTTAACTATTTCAATATTTGATGAAGTTGAAGCTGTTTTCTTTATCGTTTGCGATGGTGGTGGTGATGGAGAAGGTGATGGTGATCGTGATGATGATGGTGTAGGTGATTTTTGTTTAGATTTTGGTATTGATTGTTCTTTTTCAACTGCACGTTTAGATGATTGATCTTTCTTTTGATCATCACTTGATGAGTCGTTACTTTTATGTCGTTTTTTTTCTTGATACTCATCAGATGAATCATTCGATTTTTTTCGAGCAAATTTATCATTACGTTGAATTGTTGGACGTGATGGTGACGGTGATTGACTTGCATTTGAACTTGTTGATGGCGAACGAGGTTTAGATTTTTGATTTAAAGGTTTTTTTATTGGTTTTGGTGATGCTTCCAAAGATGATGACGACGATGATGATGATGATCGTGATGGTGAACGATTTTTTATTTGTTCACTTTTTCGTGATTTAATTGGACTTCGACTATGTTTTGGAGATTGTGATAACGAACGACGACGATCACGCTGATTTAATGCTGAATTTCTTTTAGATTTATCATAACGAGAATGATGTTGACGATCATCTTCACTTCCACTACTTTTTGAAATAGATCGTGTAGATTTTTTGAAAACATCTCTTCGTGAAATAGATGATGCAACTGGTGATGGTTTTATATCCTTGCGTCTAAATTAGAAAGTTTTAAACACATAAAATAATTAGTTATTCGACTAACCGTGATCTTGGATCTGGACTTCGTGAATGATATGGTCGACGATTTTTTGATGATAATGATGGTGATTGACGACCTTTGAGTGGTGAAGGTGATCGACGTTTTCTGGATGGTGGAGATGGTGATCGACGACCTTTGGCTAATGGAGAAGGTGATTGACGTTTCTTCAATGGTGGAGATGATGTTCGACGATTTTTCGGTGGTGGTGAAGGTGATCGACGTTTCTTGGACGGTGGAGATGGTGATCGACGGCCTTTAAGTGGTGGTGGTGAAGGTGATCGACGTTTCTTGGACAGTGGAGATGGTGATCGACGGCCTTTAGGTGGAGGTGGTGAAGGTGATCGACGTTTCTTGGACGGTGGAGATGGTGATCGACGGCCTTTAAGCGGTGGTGGTGAAGGTGATCGATGGCCTTTAAGTGGTAGTGGCGAAGGTGATCGACGGCCTTTAGATGGTGGCGGCGAAGGTGATCGACGTTTCTTGGATGGTGGAGATGGTGATCGGCGGCCTTTGGATGGTGGTGATGAAGGTGATCGACGCTTTCGGGATGGTGGAGATGGTGATCGACGGCCTTTAGGTGGTGGTGGAGATGGTGATCGACGCTTTCGGGATGGTGGAGATGGTGATCGACGGCCTTTAAGTGGTGGTGGTGAAGGTGATCGACGTTTTTTGGACGAAGGTGGTGACGGCGATCGACGAGTTTTAGGTGGTGGCGAAGGTGATCGGCGTTTTTTAGGTGATGGTGATGATGATCGACGACTTTTGGGTGGTGGTGATGGGGACCGACGTTTTTTAGATGGTGGAGATGGTGGTCGACGGCCTTTGGATGGTGGCGAAGGTGATCGATGTTTTTTTGATGGAGGCGATGGTGATCGACGACCTCGAGGAGGTGGTGAACGTCGTCGATCATATCGATCATCTGGGCGTCTTCGATCACGACGATCCTCATCATAATTTGATCGTGATTTATATCCAGGATTATTTCCATTTTCATGACGTGATCTACTATTTGACGATGATACTTGATTACGACCATTTAGTTTATCGCTGTCACCTTTTGTGTCATGACGATAAGAATCTTCTTCACGTTTACGTACATCACGTAAACGATCATCTTCTTCCTAAAGAAGAAATCGAAATGAAATCTATGTATATAAAAATATTGCAGGCTAGCAGCGGTACTAAAATTTTTGGCTAGGGAGGACTGGCGATGGAACCTCCTCAGAATTTCTCTTCTAGTTTCAATGACTTCTTTTGCGTATAGGTATACTAATTAGTGTTCTAATAAAAACCCTAAAAGGATTTCGGTTCCTATTGAGATATGAGACTTTTAAAATACAGACCTTTCTCTATGGATAGTGTATGCCACATGTATTTGTTGAAAGTTTCATATGTCGAAAAGACTTTGCTCAAAAATTATGAGCTTTTTTATGACACCTAGCTCAATTGAGTTCTCTATATGAGCAAAGTTTCATATCAAGACTCGAATATACGATGTTTTCAAAAACCTGGGGCTTCTAGAAGATACACGTATTAAAAATTTGATAACTCACGAGAGCATCTATCCTACTGATAAGCTTCGCTAGAGTTCTTATTATCCACATAACTAGGGCTCATAGTATAAATAAAAATCCTGAAAGGGTTCGTGCATTCAGTCTTTCTTCTCGAGTTATCGTCATTGTACTGAACTTACAATTTATATGTAGGATATCACGAGAAGAACCGCAACAAGGACTTTCGGCTTGAAATTCTTCACAACAAATACTCCCATGACTCATATTCTATGTTGAAACTCCTTGTTGCAGCTTTTCTCGTGATATCCTATAAGCCAAATTTTTGTTTGTTCTCTCATGAGCCCTCTTCAAGCCTCCAGTTAGATCACAGGTAATAACGATTTTAAAACTTTCTACAAGGAGCTCAGTTCTTCTTCTAGGACGCTGCCACAACTGCAGTTGTGCTTTCTTCATCTGTGGAAAGTCAACGTAAAAACGAATAACAATAATAATTTGTTTATGTGCAATTGATTTACTTTTAATAAATAATCGTATTCGTTCTTGTTTGTATCATTCTACATTTGCACTCGATCATCTCTAACCGACATTTCTCTATTCACGCTGATTTATTCAATAATACTATAAGTGGAACTATCAATAATCGGTCTTTCTCTTTTTTTTTTGATTAAAAAAAAGAAGAAACAATTAAAAAACTAAATTTACCTTTTTTTTTTGTAAATATTTTTTTTTCATTTCAACCAATTCTGCTGGTATACCATCAGGTAATGATTGTCCACTAGCTAATAAATTCCAAAGTTCTCCAATAAATAATCGAGCTTTACTTCCACCAAGAAAACCGGTTAAATTAATTTGCATCATCTTTGGATCGGGACTCTAATAAAATAAATAATACTTAAATAAAAATTTACAAGAAAATTCTAAACGAACTTTATCTTCAAGTTGATTAAAAACGAATTCAATAACAACATCATCTTCCAAACCTAATAATTCTGCTAAACGTGTTGTTATCCATGATTTGATAACATCTAAATTAACTTTCGACATATCAATCTATAAAAAAAACAAATAAATAAATATATTATAAAAAAAACAATGACATTCTATTTTACTTTAGTGTCGATATTATCTGGAAACTTCATTTGTTTGAGTAACTTCTTTTGTTTATTTGCAAATCGACTATCCTGTTCAGCCGATGTACCTTTAAAAAAACCAGCATCGGCCATTATTTAATAAGAATTAATTATCTAGAAAACCAAAAAATTATAACAAAAATAAATTGTTTTCCAGTTCTCGATTAAAATCAAAGAAAACAAATAAAATACTCAAACTGAAAACTAATTTAACATGATTTTATGAGCTGCTAAAAAGCATTGTTAATGGCAATAGTGCAAGACGTTTTTTGATGGCAATTGTAAGAAGACCAATCATACCTGAAAAAGAATGATTAATTCAATTAAAATAAATTTTATCTAATATAATAACCGATGATCGGAAAGCTGTTTAGAGCAAGATGTTTGTTCACTTATGATATATCTTCGATAAGTCAAAAGCGATGAGCTAGAATACTCTTTTCAATTTTGACCTTAGAAATTTTGTCGTAATTTTTATTCGATAGTGAAGAACTTTTTGAAAGACCTGAAAAAATATCTTTGATGGTTAGCTAACAGGCTATTATTTAAGTCCTTTTTCGCACACAGTAATAATTGCCAGAGTCGGCTGTTTTGTAGAGCGGATACTTGTCTACAAAAATATGATATTAAATTAACCTGTAGCTTTTACCCCAATAAAGCTGCAAGCATTTTTTCAAGACCTCTCTTCAACAAAAAATAGTACATTTTGTAACATGGCTTATGATCTAAAAGCTGATATATAAATAAGCCCATATTCGGAAAAAAAATTCTAACACTTAGCTTTTAAATCGTCGGACATACGTCAAAACTGAACAAACATCTTGTCTAAAAAAATTTCTACCAACTGTTATTTATCCGAAATTTTTGTTTCTGATTCCACAACCAGATAGTTAATAAGAAAACAGCATATTGTTTCATCATTGCGAAAATCAATTTTTTTTGACATGATAGCAAAACGTGACAAATACGCCCGCATATTCAGAATCAATAGAAAAATTTATATCACATTTGTACAGTCAATACTTAAAACAAGTTTTCGTTAAATTTCGACCCTTACATCCTCTCAACAGTATTTTCGAATAATCTGACCTGTGGTTACCTCAGGATCGAAATTTATTTCAAGCATTGAGTATGCTATTCGAAATAGATGTTTCTTTCACATGCAACTGAAGTTCTGGTGGTTGAAACCTGTGCACACGGATCCATATTTATTGCACTTTGTTATTCTAACGAAAAAACAATGACTTTCCTGACAATATAACGAATGATGTAGAATAAATTCGACTGTTTTTATTTCGAATATTTCCCTACTATTCTCCATTTGATCGAACCATCTTTTTTGTCTATGAAGAGATGATGTTTGAAATTATCTAGTAAACCATAGATGATTACAAACAAATATTATTTTAGATATATTTAAAAAAACAGAAAAGTAATTCTGAAAAATGGTGCAAAAAATAAATCTGAAAATTTTGATAAATTGGCAAAAATGGCCCATAATTTTCAATTAGAAAACAGCCTATAGAATCAAAGCGATGATACCGCATAGAAATCTTGGCGACTTCCCATAAGAGATGGCCAAAGAGTCAACTGTCACTGATCTGCACAATAAGAGCAGGATTTTTTCAAGGTTCATACGCGTAACCTCGATGAAAAAGAGCGTACAGTAAACTCGTTAGATTACAGTCTATAGAATAAGTTGGAACCACAAAACGATCAAAGTAACATTTTATATTCTGTACTTGATTTTACTGTATGATTACGTTTAATCAAAAACAAAAATGGAAGAAGTAATATTTCTTAACCCTTTGGTTACGGGGTTTTTTCTATCAACAAAAAAATTTTGGTTTTTGTCATAAAGCTTGAAACAATGGATGTGTACGTGCATGACAGTACTATGCAATGATGCGCTAATTCTAGTAATACGAGATCACTTTTATAACCTAACTAAGTGCTAAAGTCTTGCAGGATAATTCTACTCTATCCTAGCCTGTGTTTGCTTAGAGTACAACCAGAATAGTGTAGATTAGTATTAGTGTACGAATATTGACGTAACTACTGCGATAGCATTTGAGGCGACACCTCAGGAGGGACGCGCTTTATCTCAGGAGTAAATTCCTGGTTCTTTATGTATGAAGATATGTTTCCTCGGTAGCGCAACGTAGAACGCCTTAATTTGACAAATTTTGGTTACGCCGCTAAGTACGATTCCTGTAAGGTTAGCTAGGACAAGTATACAAAAAAAGACATCGGATAAGATAGAGAATAAAAAATCATGCTCTTACAGAACTGTAGTAAAGTAGGAAAATCATATACGTCACAGAAGTAATCCAAGTGAAAGCTCAGCCCGTATATATACGGGCCCCGTAACGAAAGGGTTAAGGAAAGTATACTATTTTTTGCAGAATATCAAGCATTATCTTTTGATAGAAATTAGTGCTTCGATCAAATGAAGAATACAGAACAAATATTAAAAATACAAATAGTCTAACTTATTCTGCTTCACTGATTGCTTTTGGCATATTTTAAGTTTTATACGCAAAACAAAAACATTTAATCAAATTTTGAATAGTGCACACCTTACCTGAGCTGTAAAACATGTTCATACATTCTCATTCCATTGATGGGTTCTTTAGCAGTAGAATTTTCATTGGCATTCACTCCACCGATGGCCAAAGAAAATACCTAATTAAATAAATTAATGAAAACGATTTCAAATAAGACCGAATTAATTTACATAAGATTATGAATAAAATACCATCTAACGAAAAACACCAAAATGACAACGCGAGTCATTAAGTACAAATAATTTTACCATCTTCGAACGTTCGACGTATAAAATTTAAATAAAAATTATTTTTTTATATTTTTTAAAGTCATCATCATATAATTCCCAGATGACATGGAAAGTCTTTTGTTTCATTTATCAATCTCTTCTATTTCAAATGGTAATTGAGATAATCGATTTTCGCTTACTGTTGTTGTAAGATGAGAAGAACTATATTTGGATATTTTAAAGATATATCACTAGATGCACTTATATAATTTGAAAACATGTTTAACAATCAAGAACGCAAACAGAAAAAACAATTATTTGTTGCTTTCTTTCTTTTTTCGAATAGCTTAACCAATGAGATCATATTTAGAATAACATATAGAAAAGAATTATTTTTTTTAAATTTAAAAAAAAATATTTCTCAGATTTTTAACATGTTTTTTTTAAAGAAAAAAACCATCAAAAGATGATCTCAGAAAGTTCCGATAGGTGTCGCTGATAATGATTATAGTATGTATTTTTTTTCTTTTATTGATGACTCAGTTTTAGCTTTTCTTGTTTATTGATCAAATTTTCCTCATACGAAAGCAGAATTGATCATAACAAAACTTTTTTGAGTATTGAAGAATTATTCAACTACATCTGTAATTTGTTTTTATTTGCTATAGATACTCAATTCTAACTAGAATATTTTTCCTTCCAGATTTATTTTCTTGATAAATAATATACATAAAAAAAAACAATGACAACACAAAAGTTTATTAATAAAGGTTAGCTATTACATATTTCATCTTAGTTTAGTTTTTAGTTTAATCTGGTTTTTTAGCAACACTAGAATTCGGTCGTCGTATATTCGGCGAACAAGTTCGTCGTGAACCAGCTACTCTTAAAGAACAATATCGAAAATTTCAATATTTTCAAACAAATCATTATAAATTAGGTCTTATGGAACATGATCGATTTTATGGTGATAATCCCGCTATTAAAGAAGCTATGCGTCGTTTACGTTTAAGTGAACCTGAAGTATGGGATGAACGTTCATTTCGTATATCACGAGCCATTAATTTTGATATTAAACGAATGTTTCTACCAAACGAAGAATGGCTTCAATATGAACAGGATGTACCATATTTACATCCATTTCTTGTTGAAATCGAACATGAACAAGATGAAGAACGACACTGGAAAAAAGTTTTAGGTTAAAATAGAATTTCGCAAAGAAGAAAAAAAGACATGTCCTTTCCTGCATATTCCTTAACACACGCCTATTTTCCTTTTTTTCTATCTATTACACATTCGTTTTTTTTGCTGTAGAAGTTTTAGCTTGTGAAAATAAGCGTATAGAACCATCTGATATGAATTTTGTTGTAATTCTTTTTTTTTGATCTTGAAATGCATAGTTTATTTCAGATTAAAAATGACAAATCAAATTGATGATAAAGATGATGATTTAGCAACAAATATTGTTGAACCTGATGAAAATGAATGGAGAAAATTTATTGATGAGTATGTTTGTTTTATTTTTCTGATTATTTTATTCTTGTTTTTTTTATACAATTGTTTCGTTTTAGTATGAAATATGTTCGTGCTCTAGAATATGTTCTACAAAATGCACCAGTTCGTGCGAAAGATCCAGAAAAAAAAGTATGTGCATAATTAAGTTTTTGCTTTTTTCGTTCAGTTAGATTTTGGAAATAGATATCTACTATTGTAAAGTGTCTGTATGTTATTAACTTCTCTTATAAAACAATCGTTCTTTAGATTGTAATTTTCTATGGACGCTGACACAACCACGGGAGTTGCATGCGAACTTCAGCTAGTTTGATCATACTATTCATCTTCCAGATATACTGTAATGAAGACTAGTAGAGTATGCTGATAATATTTGCTAGGTACGCCCGGTTATTATTTATGAGTCGACGATCCCCTATAGTACATGTAAACCCTTATAAGCTAACTAAGATTCACCCGAATCCCAATGCGATTCATCGTTATATTATGTATTCATAATATCTTATCGAACCAATGTATATCAGTCACAAAGTATATGTCAAAACTAAATAGTGATGCATGGTTTCAAATGCTTGGAAAATAGAGAATGATAAAACTATGAAAAAAAGACTAGATAAATATAGTTCAAACTAATTGCTTTTCTGTTTGTTCTTGCAATCATATTTTCACATGTCCATGGTAAACTAGTAACAATTTCATGCGTTCTCTAGTTATTTTATCAATTGAGTTATGCAAGAACCCCAGATGAACAACAGGTGGTAGTTCTAAAGATGATCATGTTAAGGTTATACATATTTACCTAAAAAGTATAAATTCGGTATATACTTTCTATTAAAAATATAAATAAAAGAGAGAGTACTTGATTACTATGAATTTAATTCAATCAAAGATGAAAATTTGTATCATCCGAAAATGTACGTATTATATAAATAAATAATTAAAGAATGTGGAGTCAAACTTTTTTGACTAGCTTATATACTTATTATAGTCCTACTTGTTAATGAGACTGTCTCTTTGCTTTTTTTTGTCTTGAAACTTATGAATCTATAAAGTCGCATATTTTTGTTCATTACTTAATATATGAAGAACAATCAGGCTCGGATGCAGAGTAAGTCGAGTGCAATAAAAAAGAAAGAATGACTCCTTGTTTTCACTAGTTACTTTTCAATTATGTTCATATTAAATAGGTTTTATTACGTAATTAAAAAAAAAATGCATTCCGTTTTTTTATAAATCAATTGATAATACGAACAGTTTTAATTAAATAAATATTTTTTTATAGAAAAAAGCAGCTCATATGGCATTATCAACAATGATGAAAATAAAAACAAGTGAAATTCCAGATGCTGTCAATTCAATACCTGTACCATTACGTGATACATTAATGAAATATGTTTATAAAGGTTTTGAAAATCCAAAAGATTATTTAAGTAGTGCTTTATTAACATGGCATGAGAAGGTATTTTATTATATAATTCGAAAAGCAAACTTTTTTAAAATGTATTTCATTTAAGGTTCTTGCAGTTACTGGTCTCGGTTCGATTGTACGTGTACTTACTGATCGACGAACTGTGTAAACTGTTTTAATAATTTATGAATGACATTCCAACAGTGATAAAAATTTGTTTTTTCTTTTCTTCTTGTCGCATGATTCATGTGCAATAATGCATAGCGATTGAAATTTTGTTGTTTTTTTTTTGCTTCTTAAATTCTACTGTGTGCCTGTTATAAAACTTTGTTTTTTTTTTGTTGTCTATTTCTTTTGCAAACCAACTATAATTGACTATTATGATCATCTTGATGTGTTGTATATGAAGAAGGTTTTCTTTTTTTATCTAGGCAAAATTCTGTAAGTTTATCTTTCATTTGTAGATGGCATGGTATCAAAAAGTTTTAACATTATCACCAAAAAAACGTGGTTTTCATTTAGTAACAAATGAAATTTTACAACAAGTACCCGAAATAAAACAAATTGAAATTGGTTTAATGAATATATTTATTCAACATACAAGTGCATCATTATCTATAAATGAAAATGCTGCACCTGATGTACGTGTTGATATGGAAACAATATTTAATAAACTTGTACCGGAAGATAATTCCTATGAACATTTAGATGAAGGTCGAGATGACATGCCAGCACATGCAAAATGTTCATTACTTGGTGCATCAATTAATATTCCTATTACATCAGGACATTTAGCTTTTGGTACTTGGCAAGGTATATATTTATGCGAACACAGAAATCGTGCGAGAAGTCGAAATATTGTTGTAACAATTAATGGACAACCGAAAAAATAAAAAAAAGAATTCTCCAGAAATTTATTTATGCGAGCAAATTGGAAATTTATTTTTCTTTGTGTTGAATTCTTTTTAGATGACTACAGTAGAAAATAATCTTAATCATTTAATAGAAGAGAATGGTACGAGTGAAGAAATATTGGATAATAAATTTCCTGAAAATGTACATATCATGAAAACAAATAATCAATTACGAGAACTTCATACACTTTTACGTGATCGTACAACATGTCGAAGTGATTTTAAATTCTATGCTGATCGTCTTATACGTTTAACCGTTGAAGCTGCATTAGATCAATTACCATATGTACCATATGATGTTATAACACCAACTGGAAATTGTTTTCAAGGTTTAAGGCATGAAAAAGGAACATTATGTATATCATTAATGAGAAGTGGAGAAGCTATGGAAAAAGGCATTCGTGAATGTTGCAGGTAAAAAAAAAGAAGAATATGAATTCAATCAAAATCTGATTGTCTTATTGTTAAGTTATTGAAGATTCGAGTAAAGAAATTTTGAAATTATCTTTCGGTTAATTCGAAGTGTTTTTTTTTATAGCTAATATGGGACAGGTAGATATCGCCATTGCGAATAATAGAACTTCCTCAGATGTTTCCTTACGATTTCAATGACTGTTCTTACCTATAGATACTAAATAGAGGTCTAATAAAAACCTAAAAGCATTTCGGTTCTTATTGAGATTTGTTTATGTGAGTAAATTTTTAATATGGCTATTTTTTGAACCTCAGGTCTTCGGAATACTCACATTTTCGAATTTTAATTTGAAAGACTTGCACTTATAGATAACTCAATCAGACTAACTTTCATAATAAAATGTTCAAAATCTTTCAACCAAGTCTCTTCAACATATGATACTCTCAAGATAGAGATCTTTTTTCATTGATAGTGTATAAAACATACAGTTTTTGAAAGCTTCATATCGGGAAGAGACTTTGTTTAAAACTTCTAAGACGGAAAGCTGTGGCTCCTAGAAAAAATTCGATATCTTAGTCAAATCTCAATAGGAACCGAAATCAATTTACGGTTTTGTATTAGAATAGTATGCAGTGTCTACAGGCAAAAAATCATTGAAATCGGAAGGGAGACAGCTGTTGAAGTTTACTCATAAGTTTTGCCCGAATTTATGCTGTTTTGTACAGATCAATGTATTAAAAATTGTCATCGAAGTGAAAAGAGTCAATTCAGGATTTATTTAATGCCATTTACCTATGAATTTGAAATTGTTGAAGTTGTTTCTTCTAGTCTTTGTCATAGAACAAAACATGTAATAATTGGATTAATTTATTTTAATAATTTTTTCGTAACTATTAAGATTTTTATCAGAATAATATTAAAAATAAGTGCAGAAAATTGAATTTAATAGCTCACAATGATGCAAGTGAAAAAACGGACAAAGTTGATATAAGGGAGCGAATGAGACTCTTATCTTCACTCACGTACACCTATGTCTCTAGTGCCGAGAATTTCGGATTCAATAACCCTAGTCGTCTGAGACATGTATAGGGTGCGCTAATCATCAAATACAAAAAATCGGAAGACCGTATCTTGTATCTTCGTGGGAATGATTTGATGCCAACTAGCACGTTTCATTGAAAGTACCAAAGTACGGCTCGACTGGAACTGGGGTTCGAAAATTGTGAACCTGGTCAGCTCTACACGCGCTCTATATATTTTCATCATAAAATAAATTTTCCTGGTCAAGCCAATGCTAAACTACAAGTTGCATCCTTTCAATTGAACATGTAAAAATGAACTTTAGCTATACATCAGTTAGATTTAATCTGGACCCTTTCAGCAATATTCTTCAACTTGTATCATTTAATGCATAATAAACTGCAGAAGTTCCAATAAATTTGTCAAATATATAGTAATCTCCTAAGGATTCTTACATATTCAGAAGTTCTTTCAATCTAATAAAATTCATTAAAAACTCGTTTTTTTTTCTCGTGTAACATTTCTGATTTCTTAAAATTAAACTAAAAACATTAGCTAAATGAAATCCTACGCGAGACTAAAACATCCAATCCTATTGCATGCTTTCCCCTATTTTCGATTGGTCAACATATGTTGCCAATCGTATGAATTAAAGTTTTCTTGCGAAAGACCTCATTGTAATTTGTATCATTCTAGTACGTACCCTCACCCGAAAAAGGTGATCAAAATCGAGTTTTTACAGCCTCAAATTGATTGGATAAATTTCTACCAAAAATTCAAGCTAATTTTTTTAGTTCGGAATCTCGCTGGCCGTTTCGAGCCCAAATCTAGATCACGAGATATTCGTGAAACTATCATATAGGTAGCGCTAGTTTTGTGAATATCTCGTTAGCTTGAATTTCTGGTAGAAATTTATCCAACCAATTTGAGGCTGTAAAAACTAGATTTTGATGACTTTTTTCGGGTGAGGGTACGTACTATTCTTACTTTCGACTTTTGTCGAATAAAGTTAAAATTTCTTACTTTTAAGTTACATATGGCAATGTTTGATTTTCTTATCATTTACAAATTTATTACAAAATATATCATTAATGTAATATTTTGTTTTTCATAGATCTATAAGAATTGGTAAAATTTTAATTAATGAAGGTCATGTTATATATGCTAAATTACCATCTGATGTTCATCGACGTCGTCTTCTTGTTGCTTATCCCGTAATAACAACTGGTTCAACAGTTCTTACAGGTCTTGAAGTATTAATTAAAGAATATCAATGTAAACAATCAAATATGATTTTAATAACATTATTTTCTACACCTGATGGGCTTAAACATATTTGTGATCTTTATCCTGACCTAACAATTGTTATTTCAGAAATTAATACTGTCGCACCGAACCATTTTGGTCAAAAATATTTCGGTTAGAAAGAAGAAAAACAAACCTCAGGTTTTAATTTCTATTTTTAGGTACTGACTGAACAAAAAACATTTGGTTTTCTGTTTGTTTGTCTTGTTTTTGTTTTTGTTTTTCTTCCCCCTTATTTTTCTGATAGCCAAAAGAAAGCAAAAGAGATTGATTTATTTCTAGATGGATTCTTATTTTACAAATTGGACAAATCGAAATGATAATCATTCATGGATTGACCAAGCATTTTCACCATATGATCTTATTGAACAAAATCCTGGAAAAGATCTTTCAAATAAAGTATTAGATACAGCCTTATATGGTCAAGATCATGAATTAAATGATGATGAAGCTGATTATATGTTTAGAGAATTAAAAACATTTTCAATTGTTCAACTTGTTAACAAAATACGTGATATACATAATATGACATATGAATTAGGAGTTAATGAAGGACTTGAAATGACACGAGCGAAATTACTTAATATTTTTGATATTTCATAAAATTAGATGAAGATTTGTATATGAATATATACATATATTAATTTTTTTTTCTTGTTATTTCAGATAAATAATGGTCGAAAGTACATCACCGTCTCGTGATTTAAAAAAACGACATAGAAGTACGAGTAAAGAAAGGTATATAACTTGAATTTGTCTTTTTTCTTTGTTTTTGAAATGATTATCGAATTTAATTTTATAGAGAACATCGTCATCATCGATCACATCGTGATGGAAATGAAAAAAAACATCGACACTCATCACCTAAACGATCGAAATCGCCTGAGTATGTGATTTGATTAATTCTAATTTTTTAATTTTTAATTTTTGTTTTAGTTCAAAGCGTCGAAAAAATGATGAAGTTAATAAAGTAAAAAAACAAAATGATGATGATATGGAAGAAGGAGAATCAACAGTTAACGAAGCAACGACAAGTAATAGTCAAGGTAATGGATCAAGTTCAACAAAACGTGTACCACTTTCATTAGAAGAAATGCTTGAAAAAAATAAGAAAGAACAAGACGCAATCTCAAAAGTAATTAAAATAATAATTTTGTTTTGATTTTTTTTTAGACTTTTTAGTCTTTAAATATTTGCACAATTGATTACAAAGTGACTATAATGAGATATCATAAAACATATATGAGAAAGAAAACAAGATTGAATGAATCAATGACGAAATAAAATAAGTAGTAACAGTTAAAGTTATTATAAAATCGGTCAGTTGATTCTTTCGATTATCTTTTGACTCATGTTATTATTCCAAGATAGATGATTTAATGAAATAGAATCGTTTTTTGATCTTACAAGAGAACTACTCCAAAGCGGCGAAGCCGAGGGGACTCAGCCTTCTCTACAGACGCCTGAGTCTTTCTGATACAAAAACGTATTAGAGTTTGCAATGAAATGTTCTAACACATATGATTTCCACAAAATACGATATATCTGTTAAAACGTTTCATTGCAAACACTAATACATATTTGTATCAGAAAAAAATACGCATTTCAAAAATCTCGCCGCCAGGGAGACCCACAAGTTCGTAGGTGAAACTGGAGTCCCTAGCCCGAAATCCTAGCTTCACTATTGCTACCTCAACTGTAATATACAATTTGAACTCAAATTGGATTCACAAAAAAGTATCGGTCAGATTACAAAAAATCCTAAAAGGATTTGTAACCTAATAACTCTGGGAAAATATCACAAAAATCGAGTTTACTTTGAAATTCAATATTGCGACAAAGGAATATTCTTGTTGGCTAAAATCTTCAGGATATTCTAAAGATTATTAGATCTAGCTATGGGCAATATTGTAAGTCGAAAATTCATTCGTGTGAATTCAACATAAGCTCAAATGACGAGTTATAGCTCGCGAAGTTCCCTCAATAGCTATCATGCTTTTTCGTCAGTGACAATACTTAACAACACATGTCTAGTTCAGTATCTAATAGTATCTATGTCGATAATTATTAGATATGATGCATTAATCGATTTTTTTCTTCTGTTTTTTAGCCCAAATTTATAACAAAAGAAGAACGTGAAGCCGCCGCATTACGACGACGACAGGAAGAAACTGACGTTATTCGTCAACGTAATGAAGAATTACGTAAAAAGTATGCTACATTCAATAAGGAAGCTGAACAGATAGTTGTAAAAGATGATCGAGAACGCGAACGTCGAGAACGCGATCGTCACCGACGTGAAAAAGAAGATCCAACAGATCGACCAAGTAATTCAAGTAATTCTTTAATATTTTGTTTTATTCTTCCCATTTACATAAATTATTTTTTCGATCGACTTGTTTTTTAGATGCCGATGAAGAACGTGAAGAAGCAGCTGTTAAGGAACGATATCTTGGCATTGTTAAAGTAATTTATTTTTTCTTTCAAAATCAAAGTTGCTTTTTTTTTCTAAATCTTCTTCTTTATTTTCTCTAGAAAAAACGTAAAGTTCGTCGTTTAAACGATCGAAAATTTGTTTTTGATTGGGATGCTGGTGAAGATACAGCTGTTGACTATAATCCAATCTACAAAGAAAAACATCAAATACAATTTTTTGGTCGTGGTCATATAGCGGGCATTGATATTAATAAACAGAAAAAAGATCAATCGAAATTTTATGGTGACTTACTTGAAAAACGACGTACACAAGGAGAAAAAGATCGAGCAACGTAAGATATATATACGTATAAAAGAAAAAAACGAATATGTTTTGTTATTCATTATTTTTAGAGCTCGTCTTAAATTTGATCGAGAAAAAGATGAAAAACGTCGTTATGATGAACGTCATTGGACTGAGAAGACTTTAGAAGAAATGGCTGATCGAGATTGGCGTATATTCAAAGAAGATTATAATATAACCACAAGAGGTGGGAATATTCCACATCCATTACGATATTGGGAGGAAGCTGGACTTGAAAAAGGCATTATTGAAGTCATTAAAACTGCTGGTTATACGGTAAGTTTAACCTTCTTAAATGAAAAACAAAAACTGCTTTGTGGAATTCACATATGTTTTCGAAGAAAATAATGGGTGTAAGCTTAAATCGAGGTTTTTTCGGCTCTTCTCCCTCTCTTGGACTCTAGCGATCGGGTTCAAATGTTAGAGACCAATGAGCATGTTTTCCCTGGTAACGAGAGAGAAGAGAAGACAAGGACCATTTGTATGTTTCCATAGCAACCGAGGATAATAGCTTTCAGATTCCTTTCGTACAGTTCCTTAGCAACAGAAAAAAAGGTACTGAATGACATTAATAACAAGACTTAGACTATTCTGGAACATTTCAAAATCTTTCTCGAATTTTCAACGGCTGAAATACATTTGTGAATATTCTAAATAGTGCAGTTTTTTTACTTTTGTGAGCATAATAACTTATATTCAAGATCTATCAATTATCCTTGAACAACAACAATAATCTACTGGAGATTTTTCACTTAATCTATTTTGTATTAGTATAATGAAACTAAGAAATATATATGAGTTTCACATTTTAAGCCAAAAGGAGCTGCACTGATAATTTGTTTTCTATTGTTGTTTTCTTATAGGAACCAACACCAATTCAACGACAAGCTATTCCAATTGGTTTACAAAATCGAGATGTAATTGGTATTGCAGAAACTGGTTCTGGTAAAACAGCAGGTAAATTGATTCTTGTTGATTTATTCTTTTTAGTCGATGTTTTTATATTTATTTAGCATTTCTTTTTCCTTTAATTGTTTGGATTCGGTCATTACCACCAGTTGATATGTAAAATAATATTCTTATTAATGAAATGAATGAAATTTTTTTTTCTTTGAAGATCTATTGATGCTGATAATGGACCGTATGCGCTTATTTTAGCACCAACTCGTGAATTAGCACAACAAATTGAAGAAGAAGCAGTTAAATTTGGAAAAGTATGAATTTCATATCTATTTGTATGAACATATGGAGTCGTTTTCTCATTTTTTTTTTAGCCATTAAATATAACTGTTGTCTCAGTTATTGGTGGTTTATCTCGTGAAGAACAAGGTTTTAAACTTCGGCTTGGTTGTCAAATTGTTATTGGTACACCAGGTCGTCTTATTGACGTACTTGAAAATCGTTATTTAACATTACAACAATGTACCTATGTTGTTATGGATGAAGCCGATCGAATGATTGGTAAGAAAAATATTAATTATGTATTTATGGATTCTTATTAGATTTTTCTTATCGTAGATATGGGTTTTGAAGCTGATGTTAAACGTATTCTTGAATATTTACCAGTTACAAATCAAAAACCGGATAATGAACTCGCAGAAGATACAAAGTAAAAAAAACGTTTTCATTTGAAAAGATAAAAAAATTCTTTTGTTTTAAGAGATTTTGCTTCAAAAGATAAATATCGTCAAACAGTGATGTTTACAGCAACAATGACACCAGTTATTGAACGTTTAGCACGTACATATCTTCGTCGTCCAGCATCTGTTTATATTGGTTCAGTTGGTAAACCAACTCAACGTGTTGAACAAGTTATTATTATGTGTTCAGAAAATGAGAAACGTAATAAATTACTTGAAATTCTTGAACGTGGCATTGAACCACCTATTATGATATTTGTTAATCAAAAGAAAGCTGTCGATGTTTTGGCTAAAGGTTTATCTAAGAAAGGATATAATCCATGTACACTACACGTATGTAGTTATTTTAATAGATGTTTTTTAGTACAAAAAAAATTGAATTTTTTCAATGTATTTCTATTAGGGTGGAAAAGGTCAAGAAAGTCGAGATTTAGCTTTAGCTCAATTAAAACAAGGTCAAAAAGATATTCTGGTTGCAACAGACGTTGCTGGTCGTGGTATTGATATAAAAGATGTTTCACTTGTATTGAATTATGATATGGCTAAGACAGTTCAAGGTAAAGAAAAAAAGATTGCATATAAAAAAAAAATATAAATATGATTTGACTTTGTTTTAGATTATACACATCGTATTGGTCGTACAGGTCGTGCTGGCAAAGCAGGCAAAGCTATAACATTTTTAACAAAAGAAGATTCAGCTGTATTTTATGATTTAAAAGAAGTTATACTTGAATCACCTGTATCACAATGTCCACCGGAATTACTTAATCATCCTGATGCACAACATAAACCTGGTTCGTTATTTTTCTTATTTATATTTTCTTTAAAGTTATGTTTTATGTTTATTTTAGGTACTGTAGTTACTAAACGCAATAAAACTGCCATTCTTTGCGCTTAAATAAAAAGACTTTATTTCTTGTATTTGTGTCTTGTTTTTTTTGTCTTATTATTGTGTATTACTAATAAAGAAGTATATGATGAAAAATAAAATAATGACGTCTTATGTATTGGTCTATTTCATGAAAACGAAAATTTTTTTTTCTTTCTATTTGATGACGTTTGTTATTACGACATACGTGTTCTTGCACAATCAGGTGTCACAACAAATATCCTACTGGTTTTCTGTTTTTTTTTTTGTGTTGAAATTCTATTCAGATTGTTTTATATAAAACATTGTATTATTTTTTGTTCGTTGTAACAGATGGAGTCGTCATTGTATAATAGTATTTATCAACGTGTTTGCTCAGAAGTAAATAACGATGAACAATTTTGTACATATTTGGCCGAAATCTGCACTGATTCTAATAGCCATTGTGATGATTTACAGAATATTATTGATACAATGTTTAAAACAAGTTATCCGAATATTTCCGAAACTCGACGTCAACATATTATTTATTCTCTACTGGATATGATTGAAGAAGATCGACAACAAATAAATAAAGAAGTTAATAATAAAGATGACGATGAAGATGATATTGATCTTTCAGAACGGATTGAACGTGATGGTGAATGTAAATTATGTGGATGTCATCAGCGAATTACAAGTAAGAAAAAAAACATTTTCTTCTTTCATTCTTACTCTTCTTTTTTTCGTTTTTGTTAATCATAAGTTCATCATCTTATTCCAAAACTAATTCTTAAACGAATGAAAAATTCTGGTAAAGAATCTGTTAATGTATCGAAATATTTAATTGAAGTATGTCGACCATGTCATAATGAAATTCATCGAATATGGCCTCATAATGAATTAGCAAAAGATTATCAAACAGTTGATATGATACTTGATGCTCCTGCTATTCAACCATATCTTAATTGGAAACGAAAACGAGAACGAACGGCATAATAAAATAAATTTTTGTTTTTAAATTTTTGTCACCTGTATTCTAAATAGGTTTGCTTATAAATTGTATCAGACTTTTTCAACAATTGAAATTTTACAACTATTTAACTTAAATTTTTTTATAAATGAAGTCGATCTTTTGAACTTCAATAATAACGTACAAGGAAACATGTACAGGGTTGTGCATAACCTTTTGCTAGGGGGGTAGCGCTATTATTTCAAGTTGAATACCTAATGAATTTTATACCAAATTACAGAGTGTCGAAAACTGAATTTATTAGTACTAAATAGTAAAAGTTATCAAAATATGTTAATGTGGAACTTACGAAATTTTCGGAAATTTTATGCTTTTTTTTAGCATAGAAAATCAAGGCACCAGCAATTCAAATATAGAGTAAGATATTTTCTTTTGATATTTTTACATG